TCAGCTTTTTAGCTGCAGTCACTCGCTTCCCCACCGGGCCCTTAGCGCTCGCCGAGGACCCCGTGACCCCCATGAACTTGGCAGAGGTTCCTCTGCTAGTGCTGGCGATTCCGCCTCGCACTACCGCCTTCCCAGGGTTGCCGTCGGCAGACTCCTGCCGACTCCCCCTACCTTACCGCCCCCCGTGACGGTACGCCAGGCACCCCCTGGATTTCCATTCTCACCCTTAACCGGGGACGATTTCGTCCCCTTCGGTGAAGGTGTCCCTCCCAGGGAACCGTCCACTACAGCGGAGGTCGGTTTCGACCCACTTCCTCCCTCGTCCTTAGTGTTGTTTGTCTGCATTTTGTTTTGTTGGGTCCCCACTCAGAGCCGCTATTCGTCTCCCGGAAAGGTAGTCGCCTTTTATGGTCCCAAGGTTGTCTCAGTTACGAGGCCAAGGCGAGGGTTGACGCACGCCCTTATGAGGCAATGCGTTCAGAGCCGACCAGCGCAAAGAAGGAGTCATCTCAACAAACACCTACCACACCAACTTAATGATGACGGGAGGGGAACGTACTCCGAGGCCTGCCATGGTTTTAACGGGACGGAGGCGACCTTGGCATTAGCCCATCAGCCATTTCTGCAGGGTATCACCCCTGCATACTCAGGTGACAGAATACCAAGACCACCAGCCCAGGGTTCAACCGAATCCATCTAATTGTCCAAGCAAAGTCCAGGTCGAGCAAAGGTCAAGATGAGTTTCAAGGCCGTAAAGGCCGCAGGTCATTTGGCGTTACCCAGGATGCACCACGCGGAGGCGAACCTGCTCTACATCCCCCGTCTGAAACTAAGACAATCAATAATTTTCAAATTAATTAATTTTTTAGTAACATGGTTTTTCATGTTATTAGGTGTAACTGTAAAACACTTGGGTAACTTTTTCTCCACCTATTCTCTGCTTCAATCGTTGCGAGCATGTAATCTCCTATACAACTTATGCATTCCGGAATAACTCCTCAATTATCCTCATTGAACGGATATTATTTTTATGATGCCATAATTTATGCAAACTTTTATTTCCCGTAAGCATCTTCATTGGCCTTTCATACGCATTATGGCAAGGTAATGAGTATAAAAAAATAAGAGCGTTGTGTAAAGAGTACGAGAGTAATTCCAGCCGCTCTTATGAATATTTTGCGTTGATTCAAATTAATTTTATTCATATTTCAAGCTTATTTGAACAATTGACTAATCTCTGTTTCCTTCACTTTCGCTCGTTTATTCTTTTTACTTCAAACCTAGCTTTCCCTTGCATTTTGCTGCCCCCACACTTTTTCACCATCTACATAGCGCAAATAAGTCTTTAATTAATTTCAAATATTATTGCAATGTGCATAGGCTTTTGGACGCTTGCCTCAAACGTGAATAACAAGAAATAACAGGATTTTGTAATACCCTCGTGCATTAAGTTTTATTACTTTGTTCGTTTTCTTCCATTTTTAAGGGCCTTTTTCTACAAATTTTTATTTTTTTTTAAATTTAATTTGTGCTCGATTAAGTTTATTTACATTTTATATTAATTAAGTTGCAGATTAATTTCGTTCCTTCCTTAGTTTTTTTTTAGATCTTTGCTTAGCATTTATTTTTTAATTATTATAGTCTTACAAACTACTGCAAAGAACCAATTTTGGTTCTGATCAGCAGATAATTTCAAAATCAAATAGTTTTGTGCATGCGCTGATATTAGTCCATTGGGTTTTCTGTCGATTTTTCAAGCTTACTCTCACCTCCGTTTCCTGCAGCGCCATTCCCATTACCATTTTCGCGTTTGCTCGCTGCCTCTGCCGCGGCTGCGGCCTCCTCTTCGGCATGGCACATCTTCCGGTGCTTGTGGACGAAGTAATAGCTGGGAAACTTGCTGCCACATGTCTTACATGGGTAGTATTGCACATTCATGTCCAGCGGACGCACTTCGCGACGTAGCAACTCGCACGCGCCTTGTTTGTTTGCCGCAATTGGTATTGGAATACCAGCGCCACCAGTTAAATCGTATTCAGCACCAGAACTTGATGCAGATTTAGCTGATGGTGTTGCTTTGTCGTCGATATCTGTTGTTATTCCGAGATTGGTGGCCGATGCAGCGGCTGCCGCACAATTGAGGCTGAGCGGATTGAGATGCCGCTTGGCGTGCTTTTGGTAGCAATATTGCGATTTAAATGTGTGTTTACAATAGACACAGACATAAATCTCGTTGTTAGCGTTCTTATTGTGCTTCCCGTTGCCAATACCACCGACACTTGCAGTATTTCCAGCACCGCCGATGGATTCACTATTTTCGGATTCTTCATGGGCCGTGGCGTATTTTCTGTGCTGACTGATTGCTTTTGCCATTTGTTGGTGGAATGAAAGAGAAACGCTTTGTTGAGTTCGCTCTGGCATTACCGCATAGTTCTCTGGCTTGTGGCCATATGCTGTGTTGAGTATGCGTCTGAAACGCACCGGACCATCACAGCTCGCGACATCAATGATAACTTTGGAGCTTTCGTTGTTATCTAGTTGTGAAGCTGGTATGGGCGCTTTGGCAACTTGTAGACCTGACGCGCGGGAGCCTCCCGCTTTGTGATGTGTACGAGTTTGCTTGCGTCGATCACGTTTGCATGTGTTGTGTGCGGATATTACCTCGTTAACCAATGCAGTTGACTTGTTACGCGCTATGCGCGCTATTTCTTTATCGCGTTCGGAACGCGCTTTAGCTAGCGTAACTGGCGCTTCAGCAACAGTTAAGATAATTTCATGCTCCACTTTGTTGTCGCGTGGGTCGTGCTTACTGTCAGTAGTGTTCCTATCGCGCTGCGAAGAGTGGGAAATCACTGAAATAGTACAGTCCAGTTCACCGTCTGCATCAGACTCTGTGTTGTTGTCGATGAAGACTTCCACGTCTTCGTCATCGTCGTCGACATCCGCTTGTTGAATAGGCGATGTACGGTCAATATCGATTTCTATGCTGCTCGGTGGACGCAGTGTTCCACCACAACGATTGCGTATAACCAGTGCGGCGGTGTTTTCGTATACCTGCGGTAACTGCTTGAAGTTTTCGCTGTTATTGGGCGCTATGGCGGTTTGTGATTGTTGAAGCTGATGTGTCGTGGGTAGCGGTACAAAACCGAAATTCGGGAGAGTAGCCTTACTGGGTATGGGACGTATGACCTTTGAACTTGAGTTTGCAGCACCTGATAACTGGGCGGTCAGAGGATTGCTACCTAAATAGCCTTCGGATTGAGCTTGTGCTAAAAATGAACTATAAAATTAAAAATATACATTTAGTCGAACACTGAATTTACTAACTGATAGCTTTGCTCGCATCAGGTATCCCATCGTTGCACTACTTACCGACAAATTTCTAATGCACGTGGCATATGAAGTACATGTGTTGCCAATAGCACACCAAATATATTTTCCACATTCAAATCTAAGTACCCGGTGTACATATAGGTGAGTAATGGGCCGAATTGCTCTGCGGTCACATTGCCCAGATATAACACTAACTCATTGCCCGCGGCAACAACGGCCGCATTCTCATCCAGACGTATGGCAGAGCGCAAATAACCGCTGTGCATGCCCAGCACAATACTGTGCGCTACAAAGCGTACACTGGTCGGACCGGTGGGACCTACTTCGAGCACTACATCAGGCGGCGTGGACATAATGCTAGACGCCACTGATCCAGCAGCGGCGGCAGCAGCAGCAGCAGCCTCAGCGACAGTACCAACCGGTAGCATAGCAGACTCTGCATTTACCGAAACTGCATTGCCATTACTAACGTTGCCCCTAGCCGTTGGAGTGCCGGCGTTACCAGTGACACTATTTGAGCCAGTCGTTCCAGTTAACCAATTAGTGAACATTATCTCATCCGTAACAGGCACCCGTAATCTCGTTATAATCAAAAGAATGAGCACAAAAAAAATATTTTGAAAAGATGGTTTTAAATCCTTGAATGTTTACAATATTTTATGTAAATTTTAATTGAGCAATTAGTTAAAGTTAAATTGTGTACATATTGCTGTTATTGCAGCTGTCTCTATTACTATAGCACCTCACGCGTTCAAAATTCCTTTTAAACTGATTTATGACCGTAATTGTGCGCGCGTATTTATAGCCCATCGAGCGAAGCATACATTCAGGCGGACAAATGAGCTTGCTGGCTTAATGGCGGGCTGTTTTACCGGCAGTGTAGTTGATCACCATCATACATGCAGTCGTTCAGCTGTTGGTCGGTCGTCCTCGTGCAGTCTGTCGTCCTTTTATGTTGTGTGAGCTTGTTTGCACATATGTTTGTATGTGTGTTTGTGTAGCAGCGTCAGTACGCACCTTTTACTGCTATAATTGGTGTCTCTTTTGGTTTCCAGAATGCCAAACAACGACAGCATACAAACACACACATATAAGCTCATGAATTTTACTCACAAACCTACTGCTCTGCAGCCACGAATCATTTCATTCCCAAAAGTTTATATTTGCGCGGATGCAGATTTCAATATTTTCGAATTTGTGTGCAGTCTGTTGCTAAATATATAGGTATGTACATACATAAGTGCGGCAATGTGGTTGCGGGTGAGCAATGTTCTTCTGCGTAAACAGAGAGCCGTTGACGAATGAGTGGCATTGGCGAGTGTGTGTTGAGTAATTCTGAGAGAGTGAGTATTTGAGAAAATATTTGACCGTGGGGTTGTCGGAATTCTGTTCGATATTTTAGGCTTACATGTCTCCTTTTTAATCCTTCTTAACGTAAGTCCTAACATAAATTTATTACCTAAATTTATATGTAGCTTTAAGAGAAGCCGTAAGGTTCTTGGAAAAGTACTTTTTTTTTAAATTTTCACAGAAATAAATGCTAATTAACTCAACAGTTTTAGCGATGAATTGAAAGAGTTTATTGACAGCCGGAAGCGAATTCATGGTTGCTATTGAACCTTAAACATAAATAATGACTTTTAGATACATTTTTGAATGATATTGAACGTTGAACATAAAATAATAATAACAATAATGGATTTTTTTTTTATTTTTACGTTGTTTTGATAACACAAAAGAGGCCCTTTTGGCTTTTAGGTTTTTTGAGTTCAATTCCGTGAAGATATTTTGAATGAATTGTCATCCCTCTTATATTACTCATGCTTTCGCGTCTAAATATACTCTTCTCTTTGTTTATTTTTAGGTTTTGAGTGTTCTCATTTTTCACTACCTCTTGGGGCTGAGCACATGAACTCTCACTGCATCCACCACCATTTAGTATGCGTGTGTTCTCACTGCTCGAGTACGGACAACGTACGCAGTGTTAGTTTGTTTACTTTTAATTGCCTTAAATAACTGCATCGCTTTAATCCAATTTGCATATAATCATTCAACTGCAGTCTGTGATGTGACGATTTGCTGATTTCTACCCCAACCTCTCGTTTGAATCACTAGCGTAGCTTACTATTTTTCTGTATATTGCTGTATACACAAATAAAATCTCGTCTGCCTATACGTTATTTTTGTCTGCACTTCTGCATGCCTACTTTTCGGCTTTGCGAATTTTACCCTTGTCAACAAAGGTTTGTTATGCTCCCTCGTTGCCCTCTGTCGTGTTGTGTCGGGCTTTCATTTGGCCAATTAGCGTGAGCGAGTAATTTTTTCCGCGGTGTGCGTAAACGCTGTGGGTCATGCTTCATACATAGATATGTTCGCCAAGGTCCTTACTGCCACTTTGATTCTTTCTGTGTAGCGGCCACACTGCTTGGTGCTACGGCTAGGATATGCTTTTCAATTGTCTTAATTAAATTGTTGTGCACAATTGAATATCGCTTATCGAGCCAAGCGACTTATGGGCTTCTATGTGTATTAGTGTCAATTCCTAAATCGACTTATCGTAGTCGTTTATGACACGAGACTAGGCTTGCATGGCTTGTATGGTGCGTGTGTGGGGGTATATGTTTCTGCATTTTTGATTGCGGCTAATTCCACCTTTTCAACTTTGAGAATAGCCTTGTGAAGTCCTGGAGGACTTGGTATTCCTTTTTCAGAATAAATCTAGTTCTATTACTTATGTATGTATGCATATATGTGTACATTTTTTAGTGCTTTCTATTTACCTTCATTCTTTGTCGTGTTTACGAGTGATTTGTATCAGTTTGAGTTGATTAATTACCGTTTGCTGTGGTTTGAGGTTTGGTTTGTTTGTATTGCTTGCCAGAATGTGAGCATTTCCCTTCTCTTCTACGTTTGTTTATATTTTATTAGTTGGTTTCAGTGAATTTAAAAACTGTCATATGTACATATCCTCGATATTTTGTGATATTTTTGTAAATTAGTCGTTTACATGCTCATTTTGACAGCTCAAATAATTTTATCTGGTTTAGTTATCTACATGTATATGAATATTAGGGCTGTTTTTTAATTAATTTAACATTACTAAGATACACATTTTGTATTCGTAATTGAATGAATACAGAAAACTGACGATTTGCCTTTTACAAGCAATTTGCAGGGTTTGTAACAGTTTTATATTAAAAACATTAGGAGGCCGCCGTGGGATGTGTATTATCGCCAGGGAGTGATTGATGCCTGCTCCGCTCAACCAATAAATCGAATTAAGGGGTTAGGTGGGTTTTAGAGGTTCAAAAAAGGGAATTTTTACTTGTTATAAAAAAATCCTTCGAATTACTAAATAATGTTATTTTAAAGATGTGTGCCAAATTTGAACAAAATCGCTTCATATCTTTCCGAGAAATCGTGTCCACCGGCATAAAAAACTGAGCTTAAGTGCGAAGCGCTGTACTGACCTGACCTGATAGGCTGAAGGGTCTATCTGTTAGAATTTACTTGGTTAGATTTGAAATTAAAGAGAATATTTTTAACATATTGTACTATTTAATAAGAGAAAACAAATAAAATGTTTTTTTCTTTTAACTTCTGAAACACTTAATCCCTTAAATATTTGAATAAATCATTTTTTTTCAAAACTAAAAGAAATCGTATGAGACTTGTTTTTTTTTAAATAAGTTTTTTTTCGGGTCAACTTAACCAATTAGGAAGGTCTTTTTTTATTATTGGCTTGTTTGAGGAACGCTTTAAAAATAATTTTACTAAGATTAAATTATGTTATCAAGACCCTTAAAGTAGTCCAGTTTTCAATAAATCAATATTTGACTGTCCTTTAACTAATTAACTAAATGTTTCTAACATTAACATTAACATTTGAAAACTATAAAAAAAAATTTTTTTCTGTTGTACTGGGTTTTCTATTGTTTTATATAAAAAATTTAGTAACAAACAAAAAATCTGCAATATGATTTTGCAGTGATAATCGGCTCGACTGTTGTCTGCTGTCAATTTGAATGGCTTTTCGCTGTTAATCGGCTTTAATTAAATCGATTATAGATAAAATGCAATCAGAACTGTCCGTGTATTGCGCATCTCAACAGAAAATGCAACCAATGGCAAAGCATACATTTAGGCGCAGACATTATTGGTATAAAGCAAGCTGAAATGAATTATTATGGATTTTGAACATTTGTTCATGTGTGACCTGATTATTTGCAAAGGCGAAAAACCTCAAAAATTCAAATTCCATTATCACGTTGCACAAACAATGTATAAACATATTACATACATACGTATGTCAGTGAATGTATATATTTGTACGTATATTAATTGATAATCCTTACGTGCGAAAGTGTTGTGTTGCTTCATTTTGCTACATTCATTTAATTTTTTTCGTTTGGCCGTCCCACTTGCCACTGATTGGGTATTTGTGTAGACTGCGTGACCAGCATTTAAATTATTGTTTTTATTTATTTAATTTAATTTCAATCATGTGTAAATGTTAATTAAGATGGCAAATATCCGTAAATTATATATTGAACATAAATTTTAATATTTTACAATTGCCATGCGCGGTCGTTTGTTCGGTCTGTCGGTTGTTTGCTTGGCTGCTTGGTTAACTACGCTTCTGCGCCCAGCCTTGGTAGCTCTCAGCGTCCGCTTACCGCCCCATCACTCAAGTGAATTGTTGCGCGGGCACCCCTCTACATAACGGCAACGCTGGTGCATTTAATAAGTAATAAGCGCGCATACAAAATGCATAAACACCGCACATGGTGAAACAACCCAAGAGTTTTCGGGTAGATGACAAAAAGCAAGGCGGTTGCGAAGTGTCAGTTGCACCAAGAAGTGCCAGGAAGTAGTAGGATTGAGGTTGAGTGAATTCTGTGAAAAAAGCGATTGCAGTTGCAACATCCGGCAAGTCGCTTCGCCTGTCAGCCATGGCCAGTATAATTGCGACTATGGTGCTCTTACTGTTGCAATTTTATCGTGTTGTTGGTTTGTGGCATACGAAGTATTTTCTTTTTGGTTGACATTTTTTCAACTTTCATTTTATTGTTGGGACGTTTAAGAAAAATATTGGTCAGAGCCATGTGTTTGCAGGGTTTTTCATAAAACATGCAAAACAATTATTCATGAATAAAAAATTTTATAAAATCATTCTGTGGTGTAATATGCAGTTATTATATATAACCAAATTAAGAAAATTATAATAATATCTAATAAATTTGAAAAAAATATTAAAATTAAATAAGATTACATGATGATTGTTTATATGGGATAATCTCCTAAACTACTAAACCCAATAAAATTCATATTTGGAAAATTCATTCATTTTTCCATTTCAATAATTTTCAAAGGCAGGACTCAAGTTCAATCCCTCTGATCCTTATACCGGCTATAACGTCGGAGACCCTATAAAATGTATAAATAAATGATCAGTATGATGAGCTGAGTCGATTTAGCCATGTCCGTCTGTCTGTGTACATATATACGACTAGTTCCTCAGTTTTTGAGATATCGATCTGAAATTTTGCTCACGTCTTTTTCTCTCAAAGAAACGGCTCATTTGTCGGAACTGCCCAAGTCAAAGGTGCAGTTTCCGAAGACATTTTTCAGATCTTTATATAGCTGGCATACAAATTGAACGATCGAAGTCAAGTGCTTATTAGGAAAACTTTTTGATTTGCCGAGACATCTTCACGAAATTTGGCATGGGATATTTTACAAAGCAAGGGTTCAATCACCAAAGATATTTTTTAGATCAAATCACTATAGCATATAGCTGGCTTACAAACTGAACGGTCGGAGTCAAGTTCTTGAAGAGATTCCTTTATTTGTTTAGGTATTATAGATTCGATGCAACCGAAGTTATCGTTTTTTTTCCTTTACCCACACCGT